ACGTGATCATAATATAATATAGTGAACGCACCAAAGATTTAATATTCCGCTCACTTGAATTTTGCTCATAAAACATTGTCTGATTATTTTTCATTTAGTTATCGATGCGCAAGTTGATCTTAAACTGCTAAACCCTAAGATCGTGGCTATCCGACTAGAAAATATGAATATTTTCAACATACAAAATTTTACATTTGTGATACTTATATATTTATTAAGCAATTTCATACTAAACATTACAAGGTATAAAAAATTCAATTAATTCAGATGTCAGCAAACATTGACACTTAAGAGCTGGTATTAACAAGAAACGTATGAATTTTCTCATCATCAAAAAATTCGTGATGTATAATTAAAACGGAAATGGTCACATACTGTATGATTACAGTTTTTACAGCAATTATGACATTATTATTAAATGAAGCAATTAAGCATTCACTGGGCTAATTTGGAGAATTCGAAGGCTTTATACAGTCACACCTCTGCTGAGTTATTTAAGGGAGATGTTTATAATAATTCTTGTAATATGGCGGCATTATTGACATAACTTTTTGAGGTAACCACAGACATCTTAGCGTCTGCGGTAATAACTAGTTAAACTAAATTTATTGGGATCACTGTTAAATGTTTAATATAATTAGTATATAGAACCACTTCGTTATATAAAAAAGGTTAAAAATTGTAATGTGATATACAAGAAGTAACAAAAATAAATAAACTTATTCATAGCATTTAATTCATAAGCCATCTCTTTTACACGCTAACGCGTTTAAGTCTTTTGTTGGCTAATATTACACTGATATTCTAAAATGAGATTATTTCGTTTAAAATAAATGATCGAGGAATATATCATCAGATTTAGATCTTTGGTGACTTAATCAACAGATTTAAGGCACATTTGATTAAAAAATCTTCATCTTTGGAGATGCATAAGTTTTATATTATTTTATGGCCAACCATCCCGCGGCCGACCCTTGCGACAGTTGTGTAACATCAAAGTTCGCGGGCCGCGACTTTTATTCGGCGTCCGACTCTGAATACAGATCGACAATTTTCAATAATATAGAAATGTCTATAGAAATGCGTGTGATTGTAATATCCCGTTATTTTATTTGCCTAGTATGCATAATCACATCTCAATTAACTTTCCCAGTATTTGGCTCCATAATGTGATTCATGACGAATCGACGAATTTACATTTTAAACCGTCTCTGAGTGTGTACACAATTGATTTTACGCATGCGATGCCACTTCGCGTGATATTAATTATGTTTGGAAGTTTTTTATTGAGTGAAATAATAAATGAGTACATGGGAGCTGCAAATTATAAATATAATATAAATGCAACAATATTTATAATAAAAAACAATTATTGTTGTATTTGTGAATAACTTCCTGACCTTTAACTATAGTTATGTATCAACAAAACATGTTTTATTGTAATATATATTATCAGCGGTATAAGTAATAATGCAATCATTATATAGTATTAATCAATGTAAGTTTATTTTTTTATATAATTTTGTATTATTATTTCAATTTATTGGCAAAGTGCTCGTTCTTCGAGACAAGGAAAAACAAATTTTTGTTTTCCTTTGAATTAAGTACAAATTTAATGATGACCTACCTACATATTATCAAGTAGATGATGGTAAAAAAGGTGTATTTTGATAATTGCAATAACTTTTTAATAAAAAAGTGACACTTATTCTATTTTAAATTGTGGATGTACTGTACAGTTTTTCAAGATATATTCATACGAGTCCAAAATACATCCTAAAATTTGAAACGTCACTTCATTTCTTTAATTTCTTATGTTATTTTATATTTTCCAATCTTTCAAACTATATCGAGACCCTCTACGATCACATCGCTACACTTACTTTTTACCTTTGTTTTGAGCTACCAGCTTCTTACATATTTCGATTATCATGAAGGCCCTCTGGTAACTGGTGTTTTTTGAGAACGACATAAGTAAAACAATTTTTAATTTAATTTAATTTATGTTTCAGCGTCATGAACACAGAATGTAAATTATTAAATTGTCATCTTTCGAATAAAAAAGTCGCATTAAAGAGATTTAATCTGTTCGCTATTGGAAGTTCTGCGCGTGAGTCGATATATAAATTAAAGTCCGGTTGTCGTTTATATGACGTTAATGTTACATATATCGATAAAGATACACCTCGATAGTCAAAACATATAACCGAGTCGGATGGCAGATGTCGAATACCGTAACTGTTGATAAAGAAATTAATTTTAAAAGGTCGATTAAAAATACTATTGATACTGTTAATACTTTTCTAATATATTTTTTTTTTTAAATATGGCAAAGTAAAAAAATCACAAACTTTCGCTACTTAAATATTTATTAGAAAATATTTTATTGTTTGCTGGTATCAAACAGGTAGTTTTGGCCACTAATAACATGAGTAGCATATTTTGTCTACACACATGGGTGTCATAGGATATCTCACTCTCGAACCAAGAAAAATGACGTTTGATTCTAGACAAAGCGTTCCTCGAGTTTATCATTGCTACTCTAACTGGATCGAGAACCTAAGAACAAAAGCATGCTATAGGACGCAAGCAAAACGGACCAATAACAACGAAAACTTTCAAACTTAAAACATGCAGGTGGCCAGCTGATTGCACCTGTTTGTTACGCTTCGATAACTATTTTCCCTATTTCTATAATTTAAAAAAGTCTGCCATTTCTAGCAATTATTAATTATATTAAATATTTAACCAACCGGCTTTAAGATGAATAATTATTTTTCAAGTCTTTGAAATCGGTTTTAAACTTTTCAAATTAAAACAAATACATAATTTTTGTTTCTTATGTCGATTTCTTTTTCTTTACAGTTTATTAATTTTTAATGTATTCGATTACCGTTCATTGGCAAAAACACCGCCACCTACAAGTAAAGTTCTTGTGATAATTTATAAAATCCAAAGAATGCTCCCGGCCTTTAGTTCATATTTGCAACATCGAATCTTCGGCGTTCTCATTCTCAAAATTGCATTTAATTACATACCACATCTCAATGCAATAATTACTAGTTAATTAAAATTATTTAATCAATTCAAAGCGAGAGTCGCGTTGGCAATATAATTCATCCGTCAAAACCAGCTTTTAAAATTGCCATTTAATTTTAAACTTAAGTAAATCACACTATAATTACTGGTATCGAGTATGAAACGTGTATTTTTTTGAATTTACTGTATTATTTTCAATGGTCAAATGTAAACGTACTTATCTCTTTATATATCTTCTTATAACATTGAAATCTTTACATCTTTAATTTATCCAAAATTGATCAAATATAATACTTAATTCTTAATACAAAACGCTTAAAAAATCCATTTGGTCCCTGGCACCCTGAGATGGGAATCGAACCCATGACCTCTCGCAATCCGGGCGACTGCTCTAGCTGTTGAGCTACCCAGGACCTAACAGGACTGACGAATCTTTCAAGCACTTGTTACTTTTCGCTACTACAGAGCGTATTCTCATCAATGTTCAGGCATCCACCCAAACAGCCGAAAGAAATATTGTTACAAATATTGAAACTTTCGATAAAGATGAGAATTTCGTTCGAATTATTATATTTTTGATTAATTTAGCATTCACAATGCCATACTGAAAATTATTCAGAATACAAAATGCTTAAAATTCATTTTTTATAGTCATTTTTTTAAGCATATAACATTAAATACAGTTATTCGTAGTATGAAATACCAATGCTACTATAACACTAATTTCTCTAAGCGTTCTTCAAATTAAACTCTTTATGCAATAATCTCTAGCTCATTATCATTATCCTTGGTTCGGAAATAATCATAACAATAATGTTATTCAAATCAAAAAGTTAACTACTCTAACACAAAAGTTCATACTTTATGGTATAATTGGTAACTCCTGAAAAGATTGCACTGAAATAAAAACTAAAAAAGTAGAACCAAACTTCAAACTTTAAAAATTTGATAAATAATGTTTATCTCAAAAGCGACTTATTCAAGAAAATGTTATTGAAGTTGGGCCTGTCATTTTATTTATAAACTTACAGAAGACCTCCGCCCGATCATAATAGCAATTTCTTGAATAAGTCGCTTTTGAAATCGCTGTTATCATTTTTTTGCGTTTTTATTTTACTGTTTGTTCTGATATTGATATTTTTTATACAATAGGTAACACTAAAAATACAATATATATTTAAATAAAAATATTTAACAGAGTGAAAGTCAAAATAGGACCTACTACTTCATACGTAAATAAGAAAGCTTATAATTTACGCGGGTTAAGTTGCGGGAATACTGATAGGTACTTAATAGATTAAGATCAATGTTGCGATATATTTAATCGACTTCAAAATCAAAAAGGAGGAGGTTATATGCTCGACGGCAAAGTATGTTTTTGTTTAGCTTATTTATAGCAAATAATCACCACCAGCCCTTTTACGTCCCCACTGCAGGGGCTCAGGCCTTCCTTATGGATGGTTAAGGAGGATGAGCCATGACTCTCCACGTTGGCCCAATGCGGATTGGAGGGTATTAACGACTGCAAATGCAGCCGGGACCAACGGCTTAACGTGCCTTCCGAAACACGGAGTAGCTCGAGATAACAATTTTTTGGTCACCCATCCCGTGACCGACCCTTGCGAAAATTGCTTTATAATAATAATAAGTCTTTTATAATAATAGTAAAGAATTTTTTTTATGCAAGCGTCTCATAAAAAGCATACAAAACAAAGTGATTTACGTATGTCTCATATATTATAAAAAAAAAATACAGTTTCATATTCTTATAATCTTTAATATTCACAAACTTAAACTGTATAATATTTTTAATAATAGCCATATCAAATATACTAAATTCTCTACCGAACACCGAACTCCCGTTATTTTTATGAACATGATTGCTGTCGTGAATTTTATTAACGTAATTTATGTTTTTTAAATGCTTAAGAGTAGTGAAATTTTTTTCTTTTTTTTTGCAGATGGAAATGAGGCGGTACAGGTCCGGTGGGACATCTTTCTTAACTTATTGGATATTCCTCTTGCAAGTAAGACAATTATCGTAATTAACTTTAATTGTTATGATACAAAGCTATGTTATTACTTATACGTATTAACAAAAATATGTTTTTAATGTTATTTATTTTATTTAAATGAAAGAAGTTAACATATTCACGTGTTATGAATCTGAAATTAATTATGTGTAGACTCCGAATTCTATAATATAATAATGACTTTAGCGTGCTAAATTATAAAAAGCGCTTGTTTTATTAGTATGAATGCCAATTCGGTATATTATTACTCTCTAAATTAATCTGGACTTGTTCTTTTATAATCCTCCTGTATTACTGTATAAAATAATAACTTATCTTATGTTTCTTAGTTTTTAACAGAATTCAAAACGGAACTTAACATGATTAAAACTAATTTTATTTTGTAATAAGCATGTAAATAATATCGACAAATCGATTTAACGATGACAGGTGCTACATTAACGATGACAGGCTTTTGCAGGGATTTTGTTACTTTGCGATATATTCTCAAAAAAAAAACTGCTTTTGAAATGCCGCTAATTAAATCCTCCCGGTCATGTAAAAGGATTGCATGAAAAAATCGAATTATTCTTATGACTAATTTTTATTTTATCTATTATTAAAGAATATTAAACACGTATTTTTTTTGCGTAACCAATAAATTACAACGATACATTGAGTTGAAATGTCACATGACGTCACACCTTTGTACGTTTTCTACATAGTTGTTTCAATGCCTATTGTCTAAGTGATTTTTTATTAAATTGAAGCAAAAAATACATATCTATTAAAGTGGAAATTATTTCAGGACGAGACTTCGCGATAGGTAAAACTTCTTGTTGCCCCTTGTGTAATAATGATGCAATATATAGACTACAAATGTTTAAAGTTCGTGATTTAACACTTAGATTACATAGTGACTCTCTCTCACCCCCTTGTCACACAATGTCACACTTCTTTGGCTCCTCTCTTCCCCTTAACGTGTGACGTAATTTATGGATTACCCCTAACTGACAGACGAAATAGAATTTCTTTCTTTTTACCCAGTCACCATACCTTGTTTGCTTAGTTATAACTTTAAGTAACTTACGACAGCTTACGGTAAGATGATTATTTGGATCTGTTCTCAGATGTTAGGCAGCGCACGGCGCGGTGCTGAGGGCCATGGTCGGCTGATGGACCCGCCGGCACGCAACTCCATGTGGCGGTTTGGCTTTCCAAACCCCGTCAACTACAATGACAACGAGTTGTTCTGCGGCGGATATGCCGGTAGGTACGACCTGTCTTTACTTTAAACTGTTCACAATGAATCATCATTGTATAAGTGTATTCATCAAAAAATGCCTATGTAATATTTTAAGAGAGAATTTTTCAAAGAAGCTCGATATAAAGAAACGGAGACAGATAATTATAATAATAGAAAATTGTTTTGAAGCAAAAGCGTGAAATATATATTTTATAGATCCGACTTCAAACTTTAATAGAGTGATCTCAAAAGCGACTTAGTCAAGAAACTGCTATTGAAGTCAGACGGAGGTTTTCTGTAGGTATATAATTAAATGATAGGCGCCCTAGTGGATAATTTAAATTAGACCTCGGTTCATTAAGATGTCGTATAAAAAAAGAAGTTTGAAAATCGGTCAAATGATTCGCGGAATAATAGATGAACATATCTTCGTAAAAATACATCGCTGTCCAACATATAACCTCTTTTCTATTGTGAAGTCTGTTACAAAAGAAAGACACTGTAAATTAAAAGGGATATGATTTTATTGTATCAAGCTCCGAGACTACTGAATTAATTTAAAAAAAAATCTCACCTATGGGAAAATACATTATACGCGCGTGACATAGGCTATAATTTAAGCGTGTAAAGTAACCGAAAAACAGGCAGTAGCTAATAAAATCTGTTTGACTGTATAATAAAAACAAAGAAGGATGCTAAAAGCATTTCTCTTTACAAAACGTTTTCTTTATATTTTACGTGTTTACAAACACTTTACCAAAAAAGCTAACATCCTCTAAAAGCTGTGAAGTGCAGTATTATTTCCAGTCGTCTTATGTATTTATTTGTATTGTGTGCCTATATTTATTTTCATTGTTCAGAAGTAAAATTATATTGAAAATCCTACTTGAGTATTTAACAGTGTTGTTGGCGGCTGGCTGGAAAGACACCATCCTTTTTTTGTTTTTTTTTTTTGTTTAAAAGTCATTTATTTACGTTACGAGACCGCCCTTTAATTCATAAACTTACACTGTGTGGCAAATTCTAATTCAATTGATCCAGTAGTTTAAAAATAAAACAATTATAACAGATCGAGAGACAGATAGACAACCACAAGATCTTATATGGTCCCACTTTTTCCTTTTGACGTGTCGAACCCTAAAAATAATAAATTAAACTTATTGAATATATTCAAAATTTAGGTATACTTTGTCATAATCTAATGTGCTGTTTTGTGTGTGTATTTCACATTCTTGCGACCTTGGGGGCATTATACTCGCATTAACTTTAGTATGAGCAAACATTTTTTAACCCTATTGATTACTCTAATGATGCGCGAAGGCAATGAGTCGAAAATAAAGTGTCGGCGACCCCTGCAATCATCAAGACTATATTGTATTATATTTACTCTTTGTTTGTGGGAAAAGTACATATCTAACTATGGTCACTCCTTGCTAAAAAATAACATGATATACTCATAATTGAATTGTAGTATTCGAAAAAAGAAATAAATCCTGCCTTTACTGATAGCTACAAGGTAAAGTTAAGGGCGTGTTTAGCTTCCTTGACATCATTAACCTTATCTACTTCTGAGATAATGGTCTTCCCTATGAATAAAATAAAGAAGGAGAACGGATAATAAACCTCTCCGGTCTAGTGTGGTTTTGACGCACTTGGGATTGGGACCAATGGCTAAGAATCATCCGAAGCAAGCATTAAGAAATAAATTGGTCACCCATATACCACTTTCAAGGATGTTGAAGGACGCGCGAAATACATTAAGAGAGATTTTGATTTAAGTCGTCTTTCGTTTTTTTTTAATGTGAAACCCCAACTTGTTTTCAAACATACCGTATGTCCTATACACTGTTTAAACTCATATATAAATTATTCACAAGTACTAGTATTTACCAAACAAACATTCGTTCCTTAGTCACCGTCGTTAGACTAACAAGAGCTTAGGTAGTGTTTGTCTATTACATGTTTTTTTTTTTTATTTTCACATGCACTACTGAAGTTAGGTGAACACGGAATCTAAGGACACGAAACATCTAAATACTTTTTAAAAATGGGATTTTTATTAAAGAAAACCATTTGTAAATAATTTTATTTAAGTCGTGTGTTTGGTTTTAGACTTACTTAGTTAACATTTTTTTAAATATTGAACAACATCACATACATTGATATACAACTGTTATTAGACCTGCTACTTCGATATAATATTATATTTTAGATTGAAAATTTTTATATTATAAAGCTAAAATAAATTTTAGAGCGTTTTTCCGATTGTGAAATGATTTCCTGGAAAACTTAATTTATATCATATATATTTTTTTATTCAACCCAGCAGAGCGATTCTGCAAAAATCCGAACTCACTCATGTGTGTAGAGATTCTGTTGATTCCATTTTTGTATTAAAATACAAAACAAGATTGATTGATTCACACGTGTCTCAGATATTCTATCCCTACGTCATTTCGAAATTCACTTCACTTATGCCACGAAACGTTATTACCAATTCAAGGTTGAGCGGATCACACTTTTGAAGTGAATTCAGTCACCTGAGTCAATTCGAATTCGGGTTCAAATTTTTACACAAAAACAGAGCAGTACTTTGGGAGCCCATTTGATGCAAACAAACAAACAATTGAATATTTCAGTTTTTAGTTATATAAAACGGGTCCTAAATATAGTTTTTATTAACAACCCGATTCATAGACGGCTTACATTCATACACACAAATAAATATACCTCAAAAACGCTTTAGGTACGGAATTAAAAAAAAAACTATGACAAATAACCTTTAATATTTATGAATATATTTTAACCAAACACATCAACTTATTGCTGGCCGACCCTTTTACACAGCGTGTGGGTGTGGCCTTACCAGGGCTAGATGAAATCTGGTTCCCGTCAGAGATGTGATAGTTACCGTATTGTTTTAGTTCAGTGGGAACAGAACGAGGGCAGGTGCGGCGTGTGCGGTGACGCGGACCACTTGACGGAGCCGCGCCCCCACGAGGCAGGCGGCATGTACGGCAAGGGTATCGTCACCAGACATTATAGCGTTGGACAGGTATTATGATGTACACTGTACTACTAAATATAGGACTATAAATACAAAAAAGAGATGAAATCGACAAATCAGTTAATAATGTAAATAAAGACAGGTCATCAAACTCTATTAAGCAAAAATATTACGATTATTTTTGAATTTCTCACTTACAATCCTCATAATCTCGTAGTTTCATCTCCACTATCAAAAGATGATAATTACTAAAAGATAGAAACACATTTTTGTTTCAGGAAATCGAAATAGAAGTTGAATTGACAGCGAACCATCTTGGCACTTTCGTAATTAAACTATGCCCTAACAATAATCCGAAACGAGAAGCCAGTCAGGAATGCTTTGATAGGTACGTACTTAATTACTAATTAAATGAACCGGTTCGATCTAAGGCTTATTTAATAAATAGCCAGCCGTTCAAAAAGAAGTAAGTAGTCGATAGTACTTAAGAAGACTATTAAGGTAATATTGGTTAACAATGTTAAAAAAGTAAAGACGCAAGCAGCCTTCATCAGAAGTCGTCAAGGAGAATGTTTGTATATAGAAATGACAGAGCAACGGAATCATTTAAACAGTCTTTTGTCGAACCGAAAGTAGAACAGTCGTTTGATCATTTAATTGTAATATAAAGAGACAACAACACATACATTGCTCAGATTCCAAGATGAGTAGCTAAAGCCCTCGTATTATGGAGTATCTAAGACAACGTAACTACAACAACACCCAGACTCGAGACAATATAGAGAAGTCTTTTTTCTACATGGACTCGACCGGGAATCGAAATCAGGACCTCTGGGATGGCGACACCACCAACGTAGGATATAATGGATTTATAATGGATTGAAGACTTATCTAAAGAAAAATGTTTATAAAAATTATCATTCGTAAGTCCGTGATAAGATTTATGAGCAATTTTCTTTAAAATTAATGTTTACCCAAAGTTTACCAAAACCAATAAACCTATTTTTAAAAATGTAGCCGAAAGAGGAAGTATTTATTTTATTCAGTAAACATCATTTTGATTCTAATTGTCAAAAACATGCCATGCCAAAAAAAAAGCCATGACAGTAAAGAAAAACTATTATAGATACACAAAATCTCCAGGACTAAAGAAAATCTGAATAGACTATATACAACACGACTATACACAACAGATACACAAAATCCCCAGACTAAAGTAAATTTGAATAGACTATCATGTAAGGTGTATATAGTGTCTGGTCTGTTTTCATTCATCTCTCCTCATATATCGACGCGGAAAGCAAACACGTAGTAACCCACAAAACCGAAATGGTTCTTCAGAGCAGAAAAATTTATATTTTTTTCAAAAAAATAATTATTATAGATATCTGTTGTAAGAAATAAAGTGTTCCTTAGTCAATTTTTACGGAAAAAACATATTTTTTTGGAAAACTATGAAGATTTTCCATTCTAAATTTCCATTTCGGTTTTTCAAATTACTACGTGTTTGCTTTCCAGCGTCGATATGTACACTTTAGCATATAAAGAGCTTATTAAAGGACTTGATAACTGAATTAACATACTTATTATTAAGTACACCCGGACCGCCAACATCGAGAATCATATTGATAGTGATTAAATTTCAAAGAGAATACGGGAAGATAAAAAAACATTACAACGATGTAAATAAATCTTATATCGACAGGTACCCTCTAACCATATCAGGTTCACGGGAGGACCGCTTCCTAATTCCCCTGGACACAGCCAAGAAAGAAATCTTCCGGTACAGAGTGCGTCTCCCAGCTTACGTCACCTGCACGCATTGTGTCTTGCAGTGGACTTACTATACGGGTCAGTTCACAGTTCACTAGTACTACTGAAAGACATTTGGAAGTTCAAAATCTGCGTCCTAACTCAGCAGTGAATGTAACTGAGCAATAAAATAAGCTTGCCTGTTCGAAATATAGAACTCATAACTCTTTTCATGTGACAAACGAATGGATGTTGAGCATGTCCTTTAAAATAATTAATTACTATTAATCCAGAACGCATGTATGATGTTGCGTATAATTTTATAACCTCAGAAATAACGTCTTAAATTAAGTTAAGATTAATTAAAGTCATATGATTGTTTAACTGTACGATGATCTGTAATATTTATGAGTCAAATCTTTATAAAACAAAACGAATATTACCTTGTTATCGCGAACACATGTAGAGCAGTCTCTGTGACAGCTTTCATCAATTCTTGAGAAATTGTACAAAATATATTCAACAGGAAAGGTTATGTTTACAGGACAAGTTAACAAGAAAAATAATAAAAGTTAATAATTTTTGCTAAGTAGCATGTTCGATAATGTCTTGTTGTTGTACAGACAAGAGCAAGACATTATAGCAGACATAGTGGATATTATGATAATACAGATACTTAGTTTATGATTTCAGGTACTAAGTACGGTTTATGATATTTATTATTATTTTAAAATTGATATAATATATTCATAACATGTAATTTTATATTATAAAACAATCAATTTCAAATTCAGTCTGTTTAAGTTTAATATTTCCTGAATTCCAAATACGAGTTTCTCTAGCTGTAAATGAATAAAAAAAGACACTATATTTGAAAGACTTTATTATATTAAGGGGTTAAATACCATACCATAAGTCTTAAAAATAATAAATTTCATAAAATATACTCATTTGAAACTGTAAGAAATTTAAAAAAAAAATAATAGAACCGATTTCAGACTTTAAAAAAGCGATGAATACTTATCTCAAAAGCGACTAATTCAATAAAATGCTATTGTAGTCGGGTGGAGGTCTTTTGAGAGAAGTACTATTTAGGTATCACTTTTTTAAAGTTTAAGTGGGTTCGGTTTCAGTGATATTGGTATTTTCATGCATCGTGTAACATAATTAACACATAGTTTGATTAAAATCAGATACTGATTCAATTTCAATAACTTCTAATATAGGTATTTTTTTTTTCGCCAAATTTACTTGGATTCAAGTAAATTATAGTCACCTGTAACTATTACAGCCGTCATAAACAAAAAGTGAATGTAATAAGGCTTGCGCGTTAGTTCTGTTATACGTTGTATAATAGGTAACAATAAAAATATAATTTCTATTTTGATAAAAATATTCAACATAATGAAAGTCTTAACAAAAAAGTTTATTTGCTCGACATATTTATAAATACATATTTTCCAATAATACTATACTCATGTTATAAAGAAGAAAGATTTGATTGCTTGTTTGTTTGCATTGGATAAGCATCGAAACTATTGGACCGATTTATAAAAATATTTCAAATACGTGAAGCTACATAATACGCGTTGGACGTAGGCTATAATTTACGCAGGCAAAGTCGCGGGGGAACAGCTAGTTTGATAGTAATTGCTTCACAATTCAAGAAGAAATCGATTGACGTATCTACTTTCCATAAAAAATATACATACTCCTTGAACATAAAAATCCTCCTTTCGGATTTTGAATGAATTAAAAATACGCAATATTTTATTTTTAGCTGAGATACAAGAAATACAATATATATCATCTAAATATTTAGGTGATATATGGTGAAAAGCTTATTTTGTTTTTTGTTTTTATTTATAAGAGGAAAATTACTGATTCGATTTCGATAAAAATTTGAATGGGTTCACCTCGGTCCATTAAACTGTCGAATAAGAATATTTTCAAAGATAGAATTGTAATTGCAAAATTAATCAAATATAAGAAATTTTCATCTTAAGCGATACTTTAAAATATTTGTAAATATATTTCTGTACTAGTTGTTTGTTAAAAATTCGCTCACTAGTAGCAAAATGTAATAAGTGCTTGAAATATTAGATATTTTTTTTACTTGAATTTAAACAAATAATGGCGTAGATAATAAGCATTAATGATGAGGAGAGCGTGCTCGCTACGTCACAGTTTATAAAAGCTTGAGGTCATGTGATATTTCAACCCGATGTGTCGCCGTAATTTATTGATTAAGTAAAAAATAAAGTATTTAATATTCTTCATTAATCTACCTGACGGACACACAAACAAAAAATAGTCGCCAATTCTATTTTACTATCTACCTGAAGTTCAATATTATTAATTGATGTGTGAGGATATTGCAACTAATAATATTGGATATTAGGTAAATAGTATTGGATAATAGCTAGATAGTACAACAATGGTATTTTACCATTGTTCAAGTAGTTGAGGTTCTATTAAGACGGATTGGCCTGCTGCAGTCGTTGACACTCATTACTGCGCACCGAGTCCACGTAGGAAGTGACTCATGGCCCATCCTTCCTATTTTGTTACGATTCTATTCCATCCACAAACCCCAGCAATAAGAGCAGTAATAGGCTGATGATGATGATCGATTGCTTGCAGGTAACATGTGGGGTATTTGTCCTAACGGGACAGAGGCTGTAGGCTGCGGTCGTTCCGAGACTTTTAGGAACTGCGCTGACGTGAGTGTGGTAACCAGCACCGGTGGGCTGCCACCCGCGTTTGCTGGAGACCTCCGCCGTGACTACCCATTCCTGCTGTACTACAGGGACTTCAGAATGCCTCAGAATGTTTTCCCGCTCGTCGTCAGGTGCGTAACAGAGAAACAGGAATGTAGACTTAGAGACATTGTCATTGTGACGTTTTGCCTCCAATCACCATGCTTATAAATTCTAGGTCTCACTTACTTAGCACGCTACTATTATGTGACTTCCATAGAAACGACAAGAGCACGGTAACAGATATCAAATAATGATGATAAATTATCGCTAATGTGTCTATGATTTACTCATCCATGATTTTATAAAGTAGAAGAAGAAAAAAAAACTATTTAAGTGAAATTTTTGTATTATGAAGCTGAATAAGAATAACCGTTTTCACGATTCCAATTACGCATCTTTTATAAATCAAGCGCTATAATTGCTTTTCTAACATAACTACCTATAAAAATATTAATATAGGTACACACTTATTATTTCTAACTCTTTTAGAAGCTGTTACGAATTGATTTATATAGATAGTTAATATATTATGTATTTTCACTTTACCTATACCTATTATGTAATATATATTTTTATTACATTATATTATTTGAGGTATGTAACTATGATTTTTTAATTATATGTGCTATAATTATTTTTATTACTTAATAGATTGGCTTGTTTCAATCAACTATAATTATGCTTGATATTTCAGAGACACACATAAAGACACCGAAAAGGAATCTTACGTATTTATTAGGTAAAAATATATGTATTTATCACATGGAATTTATTAATATGTACATTAATTAATATTTACAATCTATATTTTTAAATACATTTTACTATATTATATATTTAAATGCAAATTTGACATTGTAAATATGACTTCTTCTGTGTATAATGTGCACTATAAAGTTTGTGTGTAATTTTTTCCAGCAACGATATTGAAACAGAGGAGGAGTTGTCTAATCCCGTCATTAGGTATATAATATATTGTTTGTCGTTGAATGCGGGCACCAATGGTGGCGGAGTTTGTCTACTGGAGTTGTATCTACACTGTTGTGAATAAACTTTTTTCGTTTAGTCTAAAGATGTATTTATGGTCGACGGAGATGTTTCTTATGTTGGCGTTGATTTTAGATGTTTTAACTTATAGACGGTGTTTTTTTACTATCCGAGATTATCGAGTTACATTTATTACCGAATAATAAGTTTATTAGTTACACAAAAATCGAACGTAAATAAAACGTATATTACCCGGAATACCCGGAATATTGTGTTTTTTTCTATTGATTCATTTTTAATCAAAATAATTAATGTATTAAAATTTATTAACGTCTCGGATTATTAAAAATTCACTGTTTACTTATAAATAATAGATGATATCTTTAGCTAATAATATCTTTTTGTACAGTTTTGATATGTGACTAACATGTTTTTCTATAAATGCACGATTTTAGCAAAACCGAAATGTATGTAGTATGTAATTACTAAAAAAAGATTTAGACCTTTGTAGAACCAAATTGAAAAAAAAAACGTGCGTATATAAGCTTTAAAAATCTTTGTTAACTATGTGTTACATGTTGTCGCTATTGTAACTAACATTGTAATGAACTGTCCAATTAATTAACTCTTTTAATAATACTATTGTAAATTTTTCGGCGAAAGAAATGTAAAAAATACCCTAGATTTGCTTGCACGTTCAAGCTGTATATAAAAAATAAATGCTGCCTTTTGGGACGTGAACGAGATCTTAAAACGAGGTTTTAAATAAAGAAAAAAAAAGACGTTCTGATAACTTTTGCTTAAAGCATTTTAGAAGTGCTGTAACTTGAGATATTATGTAGTGGCAACCACCAAACGCGACTACAAGCGGAGCCACTGCCAAGAGTCACTAGTGTAGACGCCACTTGGTGTTGGCTCTCTTTGCGGCATTTTTTTGGATATTAAATTTACCCTTTGCAGTAATCTTTTAACCAGATAATGACTGATATTATATGAAACTGTCCGTTGATCAATATTAGTTTACGGGATACATATCATAACATCCCGTACGTTTGTAACATTGTAATAGGTTATCGCCATGTTTTCTAATATTTTCTACTACATATTTCCAGGGACCAAGTATGTGTGCCAACGCAGGGATACCGTATGTTCCCCGGAATGCAGGAGTGGTGTCAGACCAACTGCCTGCGTTACCCGCCCAACTGCCCTGTTGCTCTGTGTACCTGCCCGTAAGTAAACGTTAAAGAATATCCTTGATAAAAAATGCTAAAAAAATGCATTATGTCCCTGGTAAGTACTCCGAGATGAGTCTCGAATCAATGGCCTTTCGTAATCCGTGCGACTGCTCTAACATTAAGATTAAGATTTTTAAGCAACGGATAATTATAATTAATTAATTAATTCTCCTTCCTTTCGCGTATTTATTGAACCTGCCTATCAGAAAGTGTTGCCACCTCCCGTATCTGCTCATATCTTATGTGAATCTTCTATATCAATTTTCAGACAAGTGTGCGATGCCGTGGGAGAGATCCAGGGCCGCGACGGAGCGGACGTGTACTGCATGGATCAATGCATCGTGTACCCGCCGCACTGTCCTTACAACCGGTGCAAGTGCTACTGATAGACACCCAATTGCGAATTTCCCTTTTTTTTTGTTACTTCTAAGACCGTAAACTTATATTGGCCTATTCTTTGTTCCAACGCAAACTCAAGTTATTTTAATGCATGAAAAATTTAGATAAATTAGCTTCTAACATCCTTACTAAATAGTAAGCTATTTGAGATTCTACAATTTAAAAACTATAAAAATATTATATATTTAATTAAAAAAAAAAACTTTAGAATTGCATTATTGTCTATTCTGAATTAGGTTGATGTTTGTTCTTTGGTCAATTTCAAATTATCTAATATGCTTTATCCGACCTTAAATTCAACGTTATATTATATGTAACTGTGTTTCGTTACTTAAAGTTTGGAACATCCCAAGTTTTTTTAAGTGACTTTAACTACCTATTTTACCAGAAATAAGTTAAAATGTCATTTAAATGAAATTGTGCAAGTATTTCTTTTTAATGCGCTTTTATATTTTATGTTACATATTTATTATTATAAAAAAGTACATAATATCAAGATTAAAACCAATATGTATAGAACTTTTGTACATTTGTAGTATATTTTTATTATAAGTAAATAAATAATTTGTAAAATAATAAAGTTAAGTAAATGACATTTTCTTGGAGTTGAATAAATGAAATTATTATTCACTACTTTAAATAAATGTCGTAATTCAAGTAGATATAGAATGTATGTACGTATGATACTCTTTTTTATTTTAATTTAAGAAAATGCCATAAAAATGTACCATGTTTTAACTTCTGGGTGCTTTTATAATGAAAACGTTGTGAATTAGGGAACAAGGTATTGTCCAAAATTATTGTATAATATTATCACACGTATTGTAAAATAAATATGTAGTAAAAAGGGTTTGTAGTTTTCTTTCCTATCTACAACAACTTTCATTAGATTTATTTTTCAAATAGAACTGACTTCTAATTTTAAAAAAGTAAGAAAAAAATAAATAGCTACTTATCTTAAAAATATTCAAGAAACTGCTATCTAATTTGGGCTAGGGTATTCTCTGGTATAAATATTAAGGAATAAATTCGATCACTTTTTTTTTAAATTTTGAAGTCAATTTAAAAAAGAAACAATATTACGATTTTTATTTATACTGTTATAATTTTCCAAATTTGCGTATTGTTTTAATTCGTATGAGTAGGTACACCACAGACTATTAGAATGCTAAGTACACGTTTCAGCGTCAGACTTCCATCAACCACTACAGTGTGCCAAGCAGTGGCAATCGGGGCAGAAACTTATATTGCGTTTATACTCCCCGTCTCCTGTTAAGACTTTGAAACGACATAAGAAAGATAAGGCAGTACAATTATGATTTGATCAAGTGAACTTGCAGCCATTTCCCAAGACAAAAGACCCGGAGCGGACCGCCCCCTCCGCCCCCCCTTTAGGCCGCCACTGGTGGAAGATTCATGCCCTATATTGGTGTTTCTTTCTTGCACTTCCTTCGCTGCGTTCATTTTTGATGGATATTCATTCGCCTTTTTAATAATCGTTTCAAACTAAAAAACCTTTTCATTAATTATTTGCTATTGTTAAATCATTTTTTTCCGTTCTCAGATGAAGTATTTTCCATATACAAACTACGTTTCGTTCGTTTCATTAAGCTATTATACAACTTTTTGTACTGAAAGAAACTGTGAAACAAAACGCTTAATGTCATAAATAATTTGACATTTAATTTGACGTTGACGTGACGTGCGCCGGGCGAAGCGAGCGATTACGATTAATAAGCGGTCGATTAATTACGCAAAGCCCTAAAGTAAATAAAGGAAGTAGCCCTTTAAAATAATTGCAACATTATGAGCGATTTATTAGATGAAGATTTGGAGTTCCGTGGTGGTACTTTACAGCTATCCACCGACAATATCCCAGCAGAAGGTTCAGGACAAAATCAAAACATTTCTAGTCAGAATGGTTCCAATAAAAATCAGCCTAAGCCTAATGTTAATCCATCAGTGTTATCGGGTGCAGATTCTTTATCATCCTCGTCGACATCATTTGCAGGTACAATTGTTCATTTAACACTTAATTTGATGATTTTATTTGTGTTCTCTTCTTAACTTTTATGAGGAAAAACTACACTATGTTAAAAATAGAATTATACGGTCGAACTACGTGATGCCAGACGTAGTGAAGTAGGAACTTTTGAAGGTCTATTATCAAACAGTTTGTTGCTTTAAATCAGACTTGATTTTATTTTAGCCCCCACTCAAGAATTTATCAGCCATATCAATGATATAGGGCCCTGGGGCTACAGGGGCCCCTAAAGTGTGCAAGCAAAAATTTTTACTCTGCATTTGGGCCCCACAACTTATTTTGATTCAGGGCTCCTCCAAAGCAGACTATGTTATTACCCCCACACGTCAACTTAATTGCCTGATAACTAATCTACTTTCTTAAGTTGAAAAAAAAATGATTACATAAATTTTTTTTCAACTTAACAAGAAGTAGCTTAGTTATCTTCAATTGTCTGATTGATGGACTAAATAGAATTTCTTTATTTTTAGCCAGGTATCACCCCTATTAATAACACAGGTCTGAAAAATTTTTTTTTTTTAAGTTTTTTCATAAACTTTTCGTATTCGTTATAATTACGTTAGAAATAATACAAAACAGCATTTATTTGGTATATACCACGTCACACTTCTCAGATGTACATGGTATGGTTTTCATGGTACATGGTATAGTATTAGCATATAAATAGCTACACGTCAATTTTTTTTTAAATAATGAAAGGCTTTTTTACAATTTTATAATATTATTGAGTAATTAAAAAAGAGTAAAATATAATCAAAATTAAAAAAACAATCAATCACGTTTTTTCTTTGAAAGGAAACTGCATTTTGTAGGTTTTCCATCTTCCATCTTCGTTCTTGAAATACTGTAAAAAATCTTGTTCTCTTTTTCGATACCAATAAAATGTCGTCTCCGCATCCAATAAATTGTTCTCTTTTAAGCGTGAACCGAGTAATTCTGCAGCATCTTTGGGTAATCCAAGATCCCGTACCAAATCATTAAGTTCTTGCGCTCTGAATGGTCGAGGATCATTTGTAGGGTTAAAAATCTCATTACTGTTAGAAAGATCACTATGTTCTGAATTCTGAAATATGGGTATATCGAAACTCTTGTTGTTAGAGGGAATTGGTATAGGTATTTCGGGTCTGTGAGTAATTGGTTTTGTAATAAAATAAAATTGAAGACAAGGAATAAGTTGTTAAATATTACAAATGACGTTAAAAAGTTATTCATTAAAGTAGAATGTGTATGAAAAAATTATTATAAATATAATATGCTGATAAAAAAAAATGTGACGTGCTACAATAAAAAAAAACGTTATATTTGCATTATGTACGTCAACATGTACAAGTTATTTTTAAAATTCTCAAAAAAACTTTTTCATCGCAGACCTGTGTAATTTATATTTATTATTGTCTTTAATTTTGTGAATTATAAAATATAAAACTAATTAAGTAAAGGGAGATGATCATGTAAAGGGAGTAATCTCTACCAACTACAATAATATCAGTATTGTGCTTAAGCCTCTATTGATTCTAAATTCAGTATTTTGCATATTATAGATGCCAGAGCAGAATCCCAGAATAATGCTGCAACAGCAGAACCCTCAGAGCCTGCACAGACAGTCTACCCTCGTTATGATATACCATTTGATAAGGATAACATCAAAGATTTCTTTACTTATCGTAGAGGAGTTGTGGAGAATGCTATACAGGAGTGTATTACAGGTCTTTTGTTCCCTGAAGATGGAGAGTATCTCGGTGCCTGGCTACTTACCGAGTAAGTAATCAAACAACATAAAAACAATTTACTATGCAAAAAATATCTATCTCAGATAGATATCTGAAGAATAAATTAACACTTATTTGATCTCTGCTTTTGAGTGATTATAAAATTGGTGCTAAAGAAGAACCTACATGATTTTTCACATTTTAGTTACAATAAATGTAAATGTCAGTATAGCCTAACAAACGCAAGAAAAGCATTTCTTTAAATATAACTTTATTCTATGGACAGGTTGATATCTCTAGAGGCTATGAATTTAAAGTGCAAGAGAATTTTGTATGTTTCATAGAATTGTATTATGAATATTAAATTTATTATTATTATTATATTGATTACTGATTGAGTTGATTCATCATGAGATACCTCACGGAGGTTCTTTTTGCCAATGTTTTTTTTTTTGATGTATTAAACATATAAAATTTATAACCAAAAGTAAGTAATAGTATAGTAGAAAATATAAGTTTCTGGAACATATTTTTCACAAGAACTGTTTTCTCAATTTTATAAACAGAATTACATTATGGGACAATGAAAAGGAAAGAATCATACTCTTAACATCAAGATTAGTGATGACTATCAAATATGATTTCATTGCCATGAGACAGCTGGATTTCAAAAAGACTTATCTTGATGATCTTGACACTATAGTCATTGGGGAACTGGTTTATCCACCATCTTCCTTAGTTCCGTAAGTATATAAAATAAATTGCTTTATTTCTAATTAATATATATATTCTAAAATTCTTGAAATTTGTTATTGACAAAATCTTCTACAGAATCTAATACAGATTTTTTATTTGCTAAATTGCTTGAGACTCAAGAGTTATAGTGACAAAATAAGACAAAATAATGGATGGTTAAGGAGCATGGGCCATCATCCTCCATGCTGGCCCAATGTGGATTACAAATGTAGCCGGGACCAACGGCTTAACGTGTCTTCCGAAGCACGGATAATAATTATTTGGTCACCCATCCCGTGACCGACCCTTGCGAAAGTTGCTTAACGACAACGATCGCGTGCCGCGGCGCTTAAATATAGGCACATAAAGGACATATTCATATTAATAAAAGCAATAAACACCACACAGTCGCATTAACGGCATCGCTACGGGTGTCACCACAGTGGTGAAGGACTGCGTGATAGATCGGCTGTGCAGGCGGCCGACTGCCAACAACGGGGATTCTAAACTGTTCGATCCCAAGTATTTTGAACCTAGGTACTTTAAGTTGCGGTAGACGCTCCACATATTACTTTAGCTGGATGTGCTTGCTTTGATCTCTTACACTCCTTTGGCCGTTTTCCTTTTTACGTTTACTAACTCGGCTTGTTTTCATAATAACACACTTGTTTGCTTTTTCTAATTTTCGTTTTTGGTCAGGATTTTTAGATTCAACAGCAATTTTGTTAGTGTTTTTTAAATCGTACTTTTTTGCTATAAAATGAATTACTAATATTTAAATAATAAAACAATATTTTAAAGTTGTAATTCCGGTAAGTATCTGTATTTTTACTGATTATGACATTTAAAATTGTAGATATGTAGTAAAAAAACTCGTGTCTTATAATATAAATAATAAAGGTATATATTTTAAGATAAAAAAGTATTTAATTTCGTTATATTGTGATCATATTGTGATAAAAATTCGTTAGGAAATTTGTTGTTGTTATCGCTAGGGGTGCTATATCTAAAAATTGTACACTAAGATGCAACTAATGCAGCTTTTAATAATATATTACACAAAAGCTTAGTTTCGAAACATAAGAATTATCGGCCAATTAGAGTCAATCAATTACCACGCCGTCGGAAAACCCACCAAAATCTACATACCTGACCCGCCTAGTGTGAATAAGGTGATTATTGTGCTTCATCTTTCTTCATTATTCTTCTGTGATGTTTTATCTTTATCATAGTCGTGATTGGTAGGTATTGATTGATATTTTATAGGTAGATTTGATACTAAACAATTCCAAATATTATCTAATTCAAATGTCTTGTCTATCTAGTTCGCATAGTATTAATACTTTCACGTGGTACTTGGTTAGACTAGACGCCGCACCGCTAGATTATTGGGAACTTTATTGACTAACTAATAGGGCCTATATTAGTATGTACAATTTTACGCAATACTTAAAATCATCTATTCCTCTACGGTCTAATCTCACACCTATCTATGAAATTACTCCATCGTGGTATAGTAAAGAAATTGTAAAATACTTGGTGTGCATGACGAGAACATGTAATATGATCTCAATTTTTTTTGAGGGCTTGAAAATCGAGTAACTTACAAAAATACTAGGTAGTAAAGTTTTCTGACGTTTACGTTCACTGTCGATTGCGTGAAGATTTTAGTATGGAAACTGGGACAGCGCCCCTAGCGGTAACTATCAAGACAAGTCGTGCTTGCTATTAAAGAAAGTACCAAGAACTACAAATCTCCATACAAATTCTTAACTCGCTCACTAGTGTGTGATAGATTCGTGCTAGTTGTTGATTGGAAATGAAACAGCTGACTAGGCTTAATAAGTTGGTATATTTATTGTCTAATTAAAAAAATTAAAAACCCTTTCTTGGGTTTATCTTAAGGATATGATGCAAATTTATATACACATACTACATTAACATAACTCGTGAATCACAACATAGATTTTTAATGTACATACTAAAAATATTTTATTTTCAATGATGATCGTGTTGATGCCGGAAGATTTTTTTTACGAACTACTATTCAGAAAGAGCATATCGCGTTACTCAAAACTTACAAAATGACTAAAAATAAATAATAAAAATGAATTGATGTTAAAGATCAAAGACAAAAAGTTTGGATGCGGAAACCTAGGACAAATAAACGGTGTGGTACGACGCACCATTACAAGTGAACGGGTTAACGTAATACTTACATTTACCACTCAAGTACCGCCTAGTATTGTAAATACTTAATACGCGGATCTGCTCTAGTACTTAATTTACCCATTTGATTGCGAATGTCAACAAAAAGACTTATACTATACTATACACCTTGTATACGTTTAATAAATCATGGTTGAAACCTTGTTCAATTAGAAATATCCATTGTTCTGATGAAAATAGTGTTAGACTAGATTATAATTATGTTGCTGCTAACAAATTCAGCTTGACTTTAATTTTATAGTAATTTTATGTATTGTATGGTAATCACTTTCTACTCATAGTCACATGATGAAGTTTTTTCTATTCAAGGGAGCGAAACCTTCGTGGCGTGAGACTTATGTGGAATAAAGGGGAGCCACTGCCAATGAAGACTGTGTGGAATCCATTCAGCCAAGATGTGCCATTCATAACATTCGCGTCACACCCTGTATTTTGGCATAAAGGTACAGAGTGCTACATAGACATAATGCAAATATCTAACAATTTTCAAAAATAAAAAAATGTGTTTTATATATGCATCAACCTCATTGTTACATGCACTCTGATTTAGCTAGGACATTTATTTTACGTGGTGATTCATTTAAAGCCGGTTTTTTACATGTGTGCTTTTGTAAAAACAAAGCTTGTACCAACTTTAACTTTACTGTGCACTTACATTGTTATTTACAGAGGGTGATCTAGAAGATAAAGCAACATATGACATGGAGGTGTTTGCTCAAAAATTGCAACGCGCCATAGAGGCGATGCCATCGTCCTCCTGCTGCATACATCACTCGCCGATTGTTATACAGAGCTACGTAGGTCTCACTTCTATCTTACACAATAAAACCAGCATGGGTTTCTTCAAGGTCAGAGGGAAATTTAGCTTTTAAACTCTCATTGAGGACAAATGGTTTCAACTGGCTTGGCGATAACGGCCTCTACAATTACAAATGGTCAATAAAGTACTGTTTAACACATGTTAAAGAGCAATCTTATGGCGTTATACGACCATTACGATCGATGATATTTAAATGGTATATAAAGATATCGTATTTTTTTTAAATACTGCTAATCTGTCGACCTTTTTTTTTGAATCGCCAATCTTTATTATAAGATTTCTAAGTATTGCTTAAAATTTAGTTTATATTCAAAAAAAATTACCACTGAGGGTTTTTGATTGCGTATAAGGACTCTACATTTAAGCAGTATTTCAGAAGTTGTTACAAATGATAACTAAAGAAATGGTTGAACGGTTAATAGTAAAAAAAAATCTTTATATATTAAGCATATAAATGAATTACAATGAAGTGACCTTCACGTGCTTTGCGAACGCGAACGTCACTTCATTGTAGTTCATTTGTATTTACGCATTTATTGTAAAATTTTACATAATAATAAGAAAATACCACAAAATTCTTATGCAACTTAGCCTTTGTAATAATACAATGAAATTACTAGAACCATATAATAAGTTATGAAAAATGTATTCTATAAATTAATACTTTGCATTTTTCCAGTTCCTGCATCAAAATTTATTTAGCTTACAAATTTGTTTTTGCCTGTAATGCTTTTAATGTATGTCCGTATTTAATAGTTATACTTATGTCATAACTTGTCTAACCATAATTTGCGTATAAGAATATAATGTAATATGAAGAGTAAGAGATCTTAAGACCTTAATAATAGAGTTTAAAATATGCATGAAAATACGCGCAGATATACTCAAGGCTGGTTATTAAAATACAGTATTATTTATTTATAATAAAAAGTACATAATAGGCAACGACAACTAGAACAAGGCTAGAGTAGGTATCCGATGGTTACTGGCAATTCTTTTATTATGAAATTATTTTGGTTTTCGCAAATATATGTAGGTACATTTAATTAGTTTTGCTCGCAAACTAATTGCAAGTTATATATTTTAGTGGTACGGGCTAAAATATACACTGGGCTAGAACCAGAGAGTATATTCTATCTCTACATATGAAACTAATTCAATCATATTCATACCTTTGCCTATAAGATTTATATTTCATTGACATGCCGGTGGTTTGCTAACTCCGGCAGCGTTGCTAGTGAAAACGCATCTTTTTAGAAACGTTTTCTTTTTAAAAAAAGCAACAGTACCTCACGTGGGACTCTCCTCCGTGGATTCACCCCGACCAGTGGGTCCTCACCAGAAACCCTATGGGGCTCGCTCTCATGGGAGATGAGACTCGGGAAGTCATGGCCGAGTACGATATTTCACTTAGCAACCGAACTGGCGACGCGAAAATGCCTGCGTATGAACCAATGTTATCTTATTCGGCCGGTAGCTGCGATTACAATTTGTTTTTGGCGACTATTTTTAGGATCTCAAGGACGCAAGGATTAGGCACAGCTGTATGCAAGTTCGTAGAACTTCGATTCTGGGATATGACACTGATGAAATGGTATAGAAATATTTCTGTCACTTATATGTAATATTTCTCGACACGCATTATCAAAAAAAAAAAAACTCACGGTTTTTATGCTCGTGTAAAAGTTGAAATCGCTCTCGCCTACAAAATGAAAAGCTCATATTTTTTTGTGAAATGTTATGTGTATTGACGTTCTTCATAATTTTTGCACCTATAAAATTTGTAATTAAGTTTTTTGAACTGATTAAACAACAAATATATTTGGCAAATTAAAAAAAAAAACTTTGAAATTGGTTAAATGGCGTAGACTTAGGTGTTAATTACTTTGTTGGTAGTTAAATATAATATTGTTGTTGAAATATAAATTATTTTGAATGTTTATGTTGAAACTAGTGAATTGTTTGTTAATAAGATGGTTATGTGTACCCACACACAAAAAATTACATTTATATCTATCGTGCGTCTTTACTTTTTTATTCGTACTTTATTCTGTATCATTTAGAATGAATAATACTTCTAGACAGTGTAAGTGTTGAAGAATTGTAATTGTGAGCGTACAAGGGCTTGGGCTAATAAGTTCCGTTATATAAACAGCCTCGAACACATATTCACGTCATAAATAGTTAATGAAATGAAACCTTTATTATCTTTTGAATTAAGCTTTAATTGATTGAACAGAATAGCATAGCCAGTATCCAAAATGAGAGGAGGGGGAAGCAGCTGCCTTCCCCAGCTTCTTCCCTCGGTACGCCCATGGTTATAATATTGTAAGATAGGTATATGTATGTAGCTTTTGCATGAATAATATAATTTAATTATTTGGCCCTTACATGTAGGAGCCAACGATATTAATATTTAATTTGTCTTATTATAAAACTAGGTCTATCTTTTGTACCAGGCTTAATCTGTTATCCGACTCAAAATAAGTCAACACGTCTCAATATGACGTTTTACCTTCTGCCATTGTCAGTTTAATTTAGGCGGTCAATGATTTAAACCAGGTACGAATTTTAATCCTCGTTTTATATTAGGCACAGGTGAGGATACGAACACACAGTTTCATTGTTTTTGTCTGTAAATGGCGCCAGTGTTCCAATTTTAGAGATAAATATTTTTTTAATCGATTAAAATTTTCACATTACATTTCGTTTATAATTATAATTTATTGATTACTTTTATTTGTTTCAGTAATAAAATTATGTCACTCAATTTATTTGATTAAAAAAAGATATTTTGAATATTAACATGAGCAACAAAAAACGCTATAATAGTATTTGTTAAAACATTAAATTATAACAATTTCGTGTCGTGGCACTTTAGAACCTGAGCACACATTTTATAAACGCGCTGTCAGACTACCTGTATATGGTGCTTCTAAAAAACGCGGTGTGCACATGCCCTTAAGATGCCGCATTCACGAAAAGTAACAAACTAAAAGTATTTTAATCAATAAAAAAATATGTTTTATAACAATATAGATATAATGTACATACGAGTTATTTTAATATAGTAAACAAAAATCCGTTTCAAGTTTAGCTAGCGAAGCTAGAAGTATAACATTATGTGCCATACGAAATTAACATTTTTCCTTCATATTTAATAGTTTGGTAGTGATATATACATATTGGCTTCATAAAGTTAAACGTCTTTTCATGTCTCCTTACTTCTTTGATGTACAGTTAACAGCACGTCAGACTATACAAAATGTCAAATTTCCCCACTCGATTTTAAACCTTAATACATATAAGGTAATTTGACATGCGTAATGCGTCCCGATGTTTTTAATTTTTAATATAAAATTGGTACCTAATGTAGTATTATAACATCTGTGGTAAAGGTAAATAACTTTATAAACATGCTAGATTTTATTAGACCTGTGATTTATAAATTATCTATAGGTACTACATTTATTGTTTGTTTGGTATGGTTACGTGTTACAATGTTGTATGGAGGATGTGGACGAATGATTTCTTAAAATTACCTACTTTAAAGAAATCATTCGGCTTAACTTATGATACCTATCGAAACAGAGGAAGTTTCCAGAAAGAAAATACCATGGATATTCAAAAATTATATAGTTTTATTAAATGCTAGTGTTACGTTATAAAAAGTGATTTGGAAATTGAAAATTAGTAACAATATATTTTTTAAATACGTCTATAAACTTAACTTATTGTCTATTTAAAAAGTAATCATTGGAAACTTCCTTAGTGATTGCGGAACAAATAAATTGTATTAATTATGTAGTGTTGTGATATTATTTATTTTTATATTTTTGTAAAATATATAATTTTATTTGAAGTTGACTTTATTAGTTACATAATTTTATGTGGGAATGTGGCCTACTATTAATGATGTGTGTTTCTAATGAATACACAATAAGACATACTTTAAATAGAATATAATATTCAAATATTTAATAATCGGTTCAATAATAATAATATAGATATTAAATATACAAACACGTATTTTGCTTTTCATGTGAAATCGTCTATACTTTTGAGTCTGTCATTCTTAAATTAATAAAATTCTTTGATTCATTTATTTGTTTTATTTCAATTAATGCAATATCTTTTACAAACATAATGCATTTATTCTAAAATATAAATAATTCGGAGAATAGACAATCGATTTGATTGCAATAAATTTAAGAATCTAAATCTTCCCAGCTTATAGGTAAATAACAGTTTTCCCACAGTGATTCCGCTAAGCTTGTCAATGATGTTACGTATTCGTCTTTTTGTATTTGTCGTACAAACTTTATATTGTTTATCCAAGACAAATCTGTTTCAAAATTAATATTATTTGAGTTATCGCTCTCAGTTTCCATTGTTGGCCGTAAATTAGCTGCCTTACCTTTTCTTTGTTTTGACTTATTTGCTTTATCGACATGTTTATTACGTGGTTTTCTTTGTTTTATAGGCTTACTGTGGTTGCTTTTTGGTCGCTTATTGGCTGTCTCTTTTGACTGTGCCGATTTTATCAATTTATGATCATTATTTTTCGATTCCAACGATCCAACTGCATTGTATCCAATAGGTTTCTCCGCGATTGTATGAATATTTGTTTTATTTTCTCTGTTACTTTCTAGTATTGATCGTGGTACTATGTTTAAAATATCTTTATTTTTCGACACCAACAATTCGAGTTTATTATATCCAAAAGTTTTTTCGCCAATTGTATGAGACTTTGTTTTCTTTTCTCTTTCGTTTTCCAATATTGACTGTGGCACTATAATCAAATCATGAAAGGCACTGTCAACCTCATCTATAACTTGACCGCATTCTTCTAAATTAATTTCCCGTAATTTTTCTGCTTCAGGGCCGATCTGATTTAAAATACTTTGAGAGCATAATTCACTACAGGTGTCGTGATTACTGTTACAATTTTCATCAGCGGTAAGGTCGACAATCGCTAACGTCTCTTGTTCAATATAACCTTGTCCATCGTGTTGTTTGTTAATATTTTGTATATCAATTGAAGCTGGCATTTCATTTTCACATGGAAACAAAATTGTGTCGCATTGGGTGGTTTGTTCGTACTGAGGCAAATGCTCTTTCTCATTTTCATTTTGTACATTATTGATCGTTCCCAATTCGTATTTATCATCCTCGGTCAATGAATATACGGGAGATACACTGCCATTATCTGGATTAGACCATGGGTTGCCGTTATTTTCTTTATTGCAAGTTTGTTCTGCTATTATAGCTTGAGTAAGACGTGCCAATTTTTCTATTACCTATAAACCGAATGCGTTTCAATTTAAAATACCAAAGTACTTAATGGATGTAATACCATTATATTGAATAATCAATTTTAAAGGTAAAGAAATTCCCTCATAATTTGATTTAAAAAACTAAAATGTACAGAGTGTTACCTGAAGTGATCGTTCATCGTGCTTACAGAGAGTTTGATACGACATTACTTGGTGATAATATGTTGCAGCTTCAGTGGCTGACATTGGTCTGTTATTGTAAACATAGTGGTCCACTTTTAGTGAAATATCCATTAATCTCTTTTTGATTTTAATTTGCTATGTAGTTAAGAATTTAAAAATATAGTTTAAAATATTTGGTATATGGACCAAGCCACGGACAATTGGCGCTCGTTGGGTAGAGTCGGGTGAACCTAGAGCCGAGTGTTTTAGGAAGATCCGTATGGGAAGCCTATCATTTAATTTATTCATACTCTATTGTGAAATCAAAGCAAATGACGGACTTAATGCTGGAGGCATTCTCTACTAGTCAACTGGTAAGGGTTAACAGAAAATTCGTAAGGCCGTGTCATTGGATGGAGAATAAAAGAATCTTATAATAAATAGTAGTAGAGTCGGACACGCCCATGGAGGGTAGTAGAAAGCATAGATTAGCAAAATAGCTTCATAGCGTTTGAGTATAATCAGTTATACAAACATATGATAAAGTTTTATTTACGATTTTTGAAATGAACTGTTTACTATATCAAACTAATTTTAATATAATCAACAGCTTGATTTGAAAGTTTTCTTTGAAATGAGAGTACTATCAAGAGACCAAAGCTTCAATCTTAAGTATGTTGAAAGTGAGGGGGCGTACGACACATTTTCGATATGGAAATTACTATCTTTCAAATGATTGACTATGAGAAAAATTGGTATAGGAAACCTGAACGTTATAAATTCCTATCTTTAGACCCCCGACCGACGACGTGACATTCGGACCGACAGACAAACAGAAGTGATACGGAACCTTTAAAGTAGTCTTTGGATATGAATCAATTGTTCCAAGATATTAGTAGTTAATACACACCTGGTAGTTTGTTTTAGTTAATCTTTTCTTTCTGCTATTCATAAACGGCATGTTTTTGTTTTATATTCAAGATTAAAAAGTTTATTTCGGTACTCTACTTAATACAGCAAATGTATTGTTGACTGAAAAAATAAAGCAAACGCAACAGACAAAACTATTCTCAAAAATACTTAAATGGCGGTTACATGAAACAGACATTTTTAAAAACAGGTTATAGGGTTATGATCTTAATGCCAATTAAGATGTTTTGTAATTTGTCATCCTTTTCTTAAATCGCATAGCTGATATGTTTTTCTCTTGAACCAATGATAATTCCAATATCAAAATAGAACCAAAGAAATTCACGCCAAATTCATCAGATTTAGCATGTTTTAACCGATAACAGTTAATTAATCCTGTTTATACTATACTGTAGTATAGTTGAGTCAAACATCCGTCAAGATAAAAGGATGTTACAGTTACTGAATATCCTGATTTAAATACCTACTTAATATGAGATAACATAATATCATTGAACATTCCAGGATTCAGTCTAGCTCGTGACTTACGAGCAGACGTCTATTTTTTTATGTTTTATAAATATTAAACAGTTAATGGATACTTAAATGTGTGAACATGAATTTAGTTAAACATACGCTTCTCTTGTTATACGGGATTGTATTTTGCCACGGTGGTTATTCTGAAGGACAAAATGCGTAAGTACTTACATATTCGGAGTAGAATTATTTATTTATTTTATTAAATCAATTCTGCCGTTATGGGTATGTGCTGTTGTTACAATCGACCTCACATGGGGGGCGTCTGTAACAACAACGGAGAGCAGTGGTAACAACAAAAAAAAAAGCTTTTATTCATTGCATTGTTCAAATTACCAAGATGTATTCAAAATAAAATATTTAATAGATATTTGAATATATTTGTAGACTACTATTTTTATTTTGAGATTTTTCTTCATAAAAGAATCACTTCTCCTCGATAATTATAGCAATTGTCTGGTATAAGTATAAATTAAATATTATTAGTACATTCACTTTTCAATTTTTTTCATATTTCACATTTTAAATACAACAGATATTTATCCATTTATAAATCAGTGGTCGAAAAATAAAGTTTCACGTCTTCAACTACAAAAATGACCGAATTTCGAGTAGAATTTTAACAAGCGCAGAAACAAGTGCATACTCATTGTTTGTATGTAGTCTTAATATAAAATCTTATGTTTCTATCTTAAAATTTAATTCTTACATACAAACTTTAATTACCTATTTCACCCCATTGTTGTAAAAAACTACAGATTTGATACCATTACGTTTACACCATGCTTTGAAACAAGTTAAAGAATTGGATAACCCGACGTGCTGTTGACTTTACACCACGCAATATGACTGCCATGACTTAGGGATATATTATTTTAATTAGGTAATCATGGTCAAGATTATGATTATGTATGTAAGAATATCATATTATATTTTCTTTGTTTTTTTTAGACAATCTGACGTACAAGCACCGGCTTATGTGCCCGCGTATCTGAAAAACCAAAAATTCCATAATACTAACTATTCTAGCAGAAAAACGTATTCAGGTACAAAAACTAAAACCGGTCAGGCTGGCACCAAAACTGGTTATTCAGGCACTAAAACTGGATATGCGGGTACGAAGTCATCTTACGGAGAGAGAAGATCGTGGGATACTGGAACTGGTCAAGGGTAAGTTGCGACAGCTTACTATGTATTATCATGACACTGAACATTACATAATTCCCATTGTAAATACATTATGAACCTGCCAAGTGCGAATCGAACTCTCGCAATGGGATTCCGTACTATTTATAAAAAAAACACTTTTCTTGTTTTTAAGGAGTTTTCGCAATTTTTGAGTTATGTTAAATTGATCGACTATTATTCGTAAACTTGTAAAGCGAACTTAAGTGTGATAGTTTTTCTTTTTACTTTCGTTATATAAAGGTACTACTGCTGTGACGTTTAAATTTTTATTAATAACCCTTTAGTTAGTAGCGGGGGGAGGCGAGGACACTTGAATATTTTTGGAGTACTTTTCCTGCCCCACACTATGGGGAAGACGAAAAAAATATCTACTCATCTTAACCTTAAAAAAAGGGTTTTTTTTCCAAATTTTATTTTACCTCTTTTTCCGCGTATATATTCATGACAAATTAGAATTATTTAATACCAATATTTTTTGAAATAAACCGCGGACGGACAGACGGACATGGCAATACTATAAGGGTTACCTGTTTACTATGGAACCATTAAAAATATGGTTGTACTGTCCAAATAGTATTTGCAAAAAAATCATGTAATATTGCTAAAGGTATATGAAGACACAGTACATTTAAAACTTATGGTAAAATTTTACCAAATTAATTAATTAATTGATTGAACGCGTTCAAATTTCGATATAATTCGTTTTTTTTACATATAAATTTTACATATAAGTTAAGATTCCAAGAGTATCTGAAAAAACGAAGGTTAAATTAAAACTTTATATATATTTAATTTTAAATTTATTTTATAATTTTCAGACCCACTTACCAAGATTTTCAAAACAATGCAAATCGTGTGGTGGATCAGTATTCTTTTATGGGTAAGTTATGTTTTTTGATTGTTTATAATCAACAAAATTATCACAATGCATGTATAAAGCAAAAATCATGCTGCATGCTGCTCATGTAAAAAAATTAAAATGTTAACAATTTTTTTTTTTGCAAATGATCTAGGATCAGAACGATACACTAGTTTAAATCAAGCGAACTAGAACATATCGAGAAACATTCCATACGTTTCTGAGAATCTTTCTATGGAATTTAAAAACTGCAACAAATAAATATCAATGTTTTATTTCATCAACCAGGCTATTTAGAGAAGCATTTAATTATAAAAAAAATATAGTTTTACAAGAGTTTTGGCGCGAATCGATAAGATTCGGATAATAAATTGAAATTTTATTTACATACAGTATGCTTTAGCTCGTAATAGTGGTGTTAACACCAACGTGCTAATGGACGTATGGATAGATCAACGGAAATATTACTTTAGTTTTTAATCCTTTGCCTTTAATGGAAAAAAAAGCACCAACTATTTCCCGCTAAAAAGAAAAGTGTCAAAAACGATAAATTATAAAAGTGTAAAATATTATTATATAAATTAATTAATATTTCTATACATATTTTACTCATAACAAAACGGGGTCCACAACATTTTCAGAAGACCGTCAATGTAATTTGTAATGAAAAGTTACAAAACTTTATTTTACTTAAAATAATTTATAACCCAAATTAATACTTATTATGAGTACCTATAGTATTTTTTTTTAAGTTTTAACCCTTCTGTAAATCAAAATCCTGCCAAGCAAGAGTCGCACTCGTGCAATAAGGGTTCCGAACCATTATGCAAAAAAAATTTTGTTTTTTTTTATGGAGTTGTTCGAAATTTTCGAGTTAAATACAATTGGTGGACTATTTATACTCGTAAACTTGTAAAGCCAACTTAAGTATGATTGATTACCTTATAATTTCGTTATATATAGGTACTACTGCCGTAATGTTGGATTTTTTACCAACAACCGCTTAGTTGGTAGAGGGGAGGGACACTGGACCCTAACGAAAATTTTGCTCTTTAAAGCTTAATAAGTCATTAAATCGAAAAACGGCTTTCGCAAATCCCCAATGTTTTTGAAAGACCTATCAAACGTTGGTGCATGCTATAGGGAAGATATCATCCCCACTTTATACGTAGGAGTACCCTAAAACATTTTTTTTAATTTTACTTTACCACTTTGTCGGCGTAATTAAAGTGTATACTCATGTCAAAATACAACTTTTTAGTACCAATAGATTTTGAGTTAAACCGCGGAAAGACGGATATGGCGAAACTATAAGGGTTTCTTGTTTACAACGAAACCCTAAAAAGGAGGTCATATTTCGTATAAGAATTAAAAACGGTATAAAAAGTAGTTTACCCGAGCGCTCTAAATAATAACATAATACTCGTAATGTGTCGGAACGGTCGAAGAAAATTAGCTTGCGGACAGATAGACATTTCTAAGGGTTTTCTTCAAACTGAATTTGATTTGAATATAAAGTTACATGTTACCTTTTGCAGATAATGTATAAATATAAATTATATACAAAATGTAGACCACGATTGCTCCGCATACAGATTTAAAATATAATACTCGTAGAATTGAAAAGAAATTAATTGAA